GTCCAAAATCAAAGCACTGACTCTTTGTCCAATGAAAGCTCACTTTCTGGTTCATAAACAGCACCTTTAGCTGTACCCTCACATGGTACAGCTAAAGACCTTATTGGGGTCTTTTTTATAAGAGCACTAATCCCTTTCATGAGGGCTCTGCTCTCATGACCTAATCACCTCCCAAAGGCCCCACCTCCTAATACCATCACCGTGGGGGTTAGGACTCCAACATAGGAATTTTAGGGGAACACAACATTCAGACCACAGAGATTCTCTTCACACCGCAAGTGTGAGAGGAAGAGAAGGAGGATGCTGCATAACTGCTGAATGCTAGGAAACTAGAGCAGTAGACCTACCAGCTTACAGTAATCATATTATAATTAGAAATGTTGATAAGTAAAGTAGGTATCCAGTAAGATGACTATACACAGTAACAGGGGTATGTGTAATAGCAGATCTTGACCAAAGGTATTAAATGTTGAACCACAAAGAAATATTACTGTTAATATAGTGTAAGAAAAAGACCATGCCAATTTTTAGTTGTACTTTATTATAAAGTCAATAATATAAGTACACATAGGTTTTAATAATAACAAACCTTGTATTATTTTCAAATGCAAAGGGCACAGAATTGAAATATCTTATTTCCTCCATTCTTCCTCCTATAAAGATAAAGATCTCCTGAGGAAAACCACATTATTTTTTTATAATTGTTTAAGGCCAGAACATACACAGAAGCACAGAACTTACTATATAAATCAAGAAAGAGGGTCAGTTATGAAAACACTTTAAGAATTTTTTTAATTGTGTAAAGTCTAGAATCCCAAATTACAGGTGATAGTAGGTAAATTTAGAAGTATTTTGATGGATATAGGAAGGAAAGGAAATTGCATTTCCTTTAAGCAAATGTAGTTGCCACCTCTGTGTTCTCAGCACCATGTCCATTGCTCTGCTGTACCACTTAGCACATAGCAGTAATTTCTTGTTGACCTCCAAAAATTCAGACCCCCCAAGAGCGGGGCAGTGTTTTTGTATTCCCAGAGGCTGCTCTAGTGCACTCCTCTAAGAGTCATGAAAGGATAGGGATGAGACTTAAAATTGTGAGTTTTAAACGTATTAGTTAGATTAGAGCTAAGTTTTAAACATACAAAGTTAAATTAGTACAAGGAAGAGAAAATGACTAAGTGAAGAAATACAGTTACCTAATTGCAACATCATTCTCTAACCATGGCCTCTATGAAAATGATTTAGAAACCTTTGAACTGTTAGAAGCATAGAGCTTGAAGGAGTTTCAGAAATCATCTATTTTAACCTATTTTACAGGGAAATAATCTGTATAGTCTTACACAAATAGGTATTTGTGGAGGGCTGGGGAAGGGAAAGAATGCAAGACCTTGATCGCAGCTTGTTTGTAGTTTGTGGTATCTGAGAAGCTAGGTCTTTATGAATATTTCTGCAGATTTTTTTTATGGCTGTCTTCACAGAACTAGAGGTGCTAAAGGTAAAGTAGGGTGTTAATTTGCCTCCTTGAAATCCAGTCAGATGGCTTTCGTATAGAAAATTCCCTTTAGACAACAGAAACAAGTATTCATAATTGTTTGGGGTTTGTTTTTGTCATCTGCATCCATTTAGGCCATTTTAATCTTTTCTGAAAGGCATCCTTAATGCCTGAAAAAATAAACAGATAAATATGCAGGCAATTGCCTTTGGTTATTTTTTACTAGTTAAATAAATTCCTTTTTTAAAAAAGGAAAATAATACATGTTTAGCACAGCATAAAACTTAGAAAATACAGTTTGGCAAAAAGAGTAAGGTAAGTACCCAAATCCTACTGTCCCTTATAACTGTTGCTTATATCAGCCTCTGTGCTTCCAACGCATACTCACCCACTCAGGGCTTGAGGTGAAATTGTAGTTGTGTATCTCGCAAGTACAAAAACATAGGGAGTCAGAAAATGCCATTAAATAATTAAACCCAGTTTTACTTTCCATTCATAGTAGCAAAAACCAATGAAATGTTAAGAGGACAATTTTGAAAAGCAAATCAGGCAAAGATCATGGAACGGGATTTTTATGTGTTGATTCATTCATCGCTGACCCATCTACTAAAGTTAAACCTCCAGTCCATTGAGCACTCTTCTTTTACAGCTTCAAAGTTTCTCTTTGTTCTTTAAACAATCTTTTATTTGAGGTAAATAAATGTTCTGAGTGCTATGAAAAGTCCAAACTATATACTGAAAAATAGTAGTCAAACCCACAAAAATCTAAGTGTAGACACAGCTACACTTACATCTGAAAACAGTAATTGGTACTAAGGAACCTGCATCACAGCAAGGGTGGGCTGTAAGCAGGTCTTCTCCCTCAATTACATCCCCTGGTTCTTACCACCATCAAGGTCTGCAGGGAGAGAGCCCCAGTTATCATTGAGCTGTTCTTCACTTAGAACATGTGAATGAAGTAGTACATGAATATAAAGATCAGAGACCTAAATTTTTTTGTAGGCGCTCTTTCAAATTCATGCTTCATGAAACCAAGGTTGGTAACTAAAAAAGAAAGTGATCATCATTTTGTATATTCATTTTATTGCTTTATAAATGTTTTTCTTCCAATTAATAATATATTATGAACAATTTTCTAACATGATAATTATACATCTGTACATAATTTTAGTGGCTGAATTCTCTTTCTTTAAATGAATACACCATAATTTAAACGACTGTTGTTGCATAATTCCACTATTAAATGTTTTTCAGTATTTTAAGGAACACTTCAGTACACATCTGGCTACACTTACTCAGTTTGTTCCGTGGGAACAAATATCTTGAGGTACAGTGGGATAGTTGAACAAGCAATAAAAGAAACATCACTTTCTAATTTGCCTTTTTCCTCTTATTTCTTCCTTAATTAGTAGTGAAGTTGAATATATAGTTCTCCTTTTTGTGAATTTTCTGTAATGGTCATTTGCCCATTTTTCTGTTGGATTATTCATTTTTAATTGATTTTATGGGGACTCTTTGAATATTAACTCCTATCACTTTTGTGAGCAGTTTTATTGAGGTATAATTGACATATAATAAACTGCATATATTTTAACTGTACACCCTGATAAGACATATTTATATACTTGTGAGACTATCACCTCAGTCAAGATAATGAACACATCCATCATCCCCCAGAGTTACTTTGTACTCCTTGGTCATCTGTCCCTACCTCCCCCTCCTGCCAGACAAACACTATGAATTAATTAATTTTCATTCCCTAGAATTGTATATGAGTGCAACAGTATATACCATGTACTTTTTTTGATCTGTCTTCTTTCACTCATAATTACTTTGAAGTTAATCTGTGTTTTCAAGTTTATCAATAGTTCCTTTTTATTTCTGAGTATTATTTTATTGTATTGATATATCACAGTTTGTTTTTCCATTCACCTGTTGATGGGCATTTGGGTTTTATCCAGTTTTTAGCTATTACAAATAAAGATGCTGTGAATATTCATTTACAAGTGTTTGTATAAACATATGCTTTTATTTCTCTTGAATAAATACCTAAAAATAGAAGAGCTGGATCCCAGCGCAGACATATGTTTAAGAAGCTTCCAGACTGTTTTCTAAAGTGGTTGTGCTGCTTAACCTTCCCACCACTAGTCTGTATTTCAGTATCTCCGTATCCTTGCTAAATTTGAAATGGCCAGTCTTTTAAATTTTAGCCCTTGTAATAGGTATGCTGTGCTATTTCATTGTGGTTTTAATTTGCTTATCGTTAATGACTAATGATGTTAAGCACCTTTTCATGTGCTTATTTACCATCCATGTATCTTCTTCACTGAATCATGTGTTCAGATCTCTTGCCCATTTGTAAAACTGGGTTGTTTGCTTTCTGATTATTGAATTTTGAGAGTTAGGTTTCTTATATACAAGTGATGCTCTATTAGGTATATGATTTGCAAATATTTCTCCCAGCCTTTGGCTTTTCTTCTAATTGTCTTAAGAGTTTGAAAGAACAGACGTTTGAAATTTTTTTGAAGTCCAAAATTGTCAATTTTTTCTTTTATGGATTTTTAAATTATATAATTGTATAATCAAGAAAATACTATTTTAAATGATTACTTTTTATTTGTTCTCCTTTGTACTTACAGGCATTTAAAAATTTTCAAATTCATTTATTTAAATGATCAAATGAGATAATGTATGTGAAAGCATCCTAAACATCATAAAGTACAATACAGGTGCTAATACCCTTGTTGTCGTCGTCATCATCATCATCAAAAACATTCACCCTTTGAGCCATCTATTCCACTCTGGGGTATTAAATCCAAAGAAAGGATTCTTTTAAAAAGTAAATTATGAAAGTACTTACGCATAGCCTATAATGAGGGAAAACAGAAAGCATTGTAAATATTTAGGAATAGGAGAATACATAAATAAACTATGGCGCTTCCTTAGATGAGACATTGTAAAGCATTTATAAATGGTAATTACATAGTTGTAGAAATATGCAAAAACTTACATTTAAATTGAAAAACTGTTCAATTGTGTTTACACTATGATATCTTACATAAAATGTATATATGAATAAAGATAGAGGTATGAAGATACGAAAACAGTTGTTTTAAGGAAATGGGTTTGTGAATAATTATTGTTTTTGTGTTTTCTTTATTATATTATGCCTTTGATTTTTTTATATTGTGTTTTCTGTATGCATCTCTTCAAAGTTAGAATCCCCTTCCAATTTGTTATGTTTACCAGACCAAGATACTGCATGGCCTTCAAGGCTCAATTATACTACCTGACATGAAGTTATCTATGAAATTATTATATTTCCTTTTTTATGGTTTACAGTATTTAATAATTTCACATTTTGTTCATCATGTTGTATTATTATTACCCAGTATTTAAAATGTATTATGTACTTTCTGATCATTCCTTTAATGCTACAATTTCATAGCTTAATTATTTCATTATGCTTTTGCTGTGATGATTTGAACTAATTATGGACTAATTTTTCCAGTTGCCCAGCAGGAGGCTGAAATGTTCAAACGCTACAATGGAACCTTTCCATTACCTGGAATACACCAAAATCAAGATGCTTTATGCATCTGCCCTAGACTGCCTCATCAGGGCTCTTTTCAGATTGATGACTATGTCCACACTGAAAATTCTTCAATGAAGATGCAGCAAGTGAAACAGAGGATCGATTCTGTCACAGTATGTTTACTTATTTTATGCAGTTGAGAAGTTGGAAACTTTAAAACCATTTCAGTTCTGTTTTCCATTGCCATGCCAATAAATATTAACTGAATGAAGTAGTTACTTAAAACTAGGCTTTCTTATACATTTATAGTTCCTTTCTGGTACTTGTTCTAAAATCACTTAACTGCAGTAAACAAACTGAACTTAGGATAATCTATTAGGCTTTTCTGACTTGATATCTCTGTAAAGATCAGCCCAGGACTTGTTTCTCTATTTTAAAATATATGTGTGTATATGTGTATATATGCATATATACAACATGCAGACATGCACACACAGCAAATACCAACCTGGGAAAATGTCTACACAAAATATATAAATGGAATAGCCTTCTTAATATGCAAGAACTAAAAAATAAAGAAAATAGTGAGACTTCAACAAAGAAATGGATAAAAGAAATAAACATGTACTTTCAAAAAGAGTAGGTACAAATGTCTCATAAGCGTATTTTAAAGTTCTATCTCACTTCAGAGAAAAGTAGTGCCACAGAAACCAGATATTGCCTGTAAAACTGGAAAAGAGATGATGAAAATCAGGAGGAGGATGCTTGATTAAAAGTCGTGTGGTATTCTGTTGGTGGTAAATTACTATACAGTGTTTCTCAAAGATAAGTGGTAAAATGTATTGAGAAGCTTGAACATCCTTAAAAATACTTAGGCTTGGGCTTCCCTGGTGGCGCAGTGGTTGAGAGTCCGCCTGCCGATGCAGGGGACGCGGGTTCGTGCCCTGGTCCGGGAAGGTCCCACATGCCCCGGAGCGGCCGGGCCCGTGAGCCATGGCCGCTGAGCCTGCGCGTCCGGAACCTGTGCTCCGCAACGGGAGAGGCCACAACAGTGAGAGGCACGCGTACCGCAAAAAACAAACAAACAAACAAACAAACAAACAAACAAAAATACTTAGGCTCTTTGACCCTAATAGTTCTTTTAGTGAGAATTAGCCTGAGCACCTTGAAGAGAGAGACTTTGCGGGGTTGTTGTGTTCCACCTTGTGGCACAGTGCCTGGCATTTAATAAAGATCATCCTTTCCCCTCCTCCTTTGATAGGGATATTGACCAGTTTTAAACCCAATGTAGGAGGAACTACAGTGAGACATCTTTTAGTTCTGACTGTACTTTCTTCCTCCCTCCTTTCCTTTCTTCAGAAAGTTAGAGAGTGTGGGGTATACAAGAGTGCAGATCACTCAGACAACGGGTTCAGCTTTAGTTGGAATATGGGGGAAATTTTTTTATATTTATCAGTATAAATTTTAGAATAATATGACTATAAATTAATATTTCAGTGTTGTAAGACTTTATATTTTAACATTTTAAAATAATTGAATAATGAATGTGTTCCAGATTTTAAAAGGAAGTATGAATAGATAAATGGAGTTCTAAAAATTAGAGAAAAATATTTATTCGCTAGGAAAAAAAAATGGCCCATGTCTAAAGCCTTGCATTGCAAGATGATTTCATCTACAGACTAAAGAGCAACTCACAGATAGATATATAAACACAAGTTTCCTACAATCTGTCAGTCTTTACACTGTGAAACTTAACATCCTGGAATCACCTTGGGCTTGTAGCTTTTCTCCTGCATCATTTTTTATAGCTGTCATCCTCAGATAAATGAAAGGAAAGTAGATGTAAAAGAAAAATAAAATCAGAAAAATATTTTTTAAGATATGAAACCAAAGGCAAGGGGAAAGTAAATTGATAATTTATTATAAGAGAAAAACTTGTTTCTCATAGAATCATTGATTTATTTAGCTTTTACTAAACTTTTCCTTTTAAAAATTATGCTTTGGGATTGTGGTAGATTGAGGCTGCCTTTGGAAATGAAAGCTTTGTCTATTTGCTGTGGTTTTTGAAAAACCATATATTTCCCGTGTTAAGAGAATTCTCTGAACTTTTTTTTCAAATGCTATCTGCAGTGTATTTTCTCTGAGAATGTATGTAGCATATATGGGAATCAAAACAAAATGTCATCTTTGTTCCCACGGAAGCTCCATTCTTTTCATGTTTTGCAAGCATTTAGGTTGACTGGATTCTCACCTTTTGTCACAATGCCTTTTCTCTTGTTTCCTGAGCTGTGTTTTGGTAGACTCTAAATTCCTTTTCCTGTTAGGTTTGTTACTTAGTCTAAAAGACTCTGTCACTGGTCTTCTATGTAGAAGTCTAATAGAGAAGACTATATTACTTCTATATTGTAGAAGACTGTATCCCTGGAGATACTCCTTTCTTTGTAACCACAAAAGGAATGATTTTCTGATAAAATACAGTTCAAGTTTAGGGTGTGATTTGTGTGTGTGTGAATTGCATAATAAATTCAGTTCCTCAGGTGTTTCATAGGTGTTTACTCATGAATGAGAAAAGGATGCCATAAATAGACAATTTTCTGTTCTTGGTAGCTTTATCATTTACTCATAATAAAACTCTTTTAACTGTTTCGTACTTAACAGAGCCGACTTTGTGCTACTACTGCAGCAATACCTAAAAGGCTCTGCAATCCAGATAAGACCTCACAGGTAGACAGTATCTTGAGAGCAGTGACACAACTCTTTCTAAGGTTTCAAACCCAGAAATTTGGTCTTATTAGTGTATCCAGAGCTGCTCAGAATCTGGGGTACCTGGTAATAGTAAAGAGTTCCACAAAAAGTTGATTTATAAACTTAAACATCTTATAATGGAAGGTATACCTCTCCAGCTGCTTGAGCCCTCAAGACCACTTGCCCTTTTAAAAATTAACGTGATATCTGGGTCAGTGATCACAGAGCTGATTGTTAAGCAGAGTCATAGGAATAGGGATTGAATGGGTTTTTAAATGTTTTATGCCAATTTTGAAAAAAAAAAAGATTAATTTTCTCTACCCCACAGGAGATTTCACCGTATAATAATTGGTGATGATTAACATCTGTTTAATTATGAGTAGAAACTGACATAATGAATTCCTGGTACTGTGCTAAGTGTTTTACGTGTTCACTGTATTTAATCCTCAAAACCATCCTATAATGTGGATGCTAGTATTATCCCCATTTTACAGAAGATGATGTTGAGGCTTACAGAGATCAAGCAATATTGCCAAGGTCACACAGATGGAAACATTGGAGCTGAGATTCAGTCCAGGCAATCAGAATCTCATGCTCACAGTCAGTTTTACTGTCTCCTTTTAGTGATTGAAATGACTGATATCCTTTAGATGTAGTCTATGTCCCTTAGAAATTTCAGATTAAAAAAAAAAGGACACTCTTCTTTTTCAGTTCTTTTTTTCTAAACTCCACATTGATTGTTACCATTTTTTCCTAGTGCTGTACTAGGCTGATGATATATGCTGGTTAACAACCTTAATTGGACTAGAATATTATTTGTGTCTCCCTAGCAGCAAATTTACAAGTCATCTATTTTGTGTTGCCTTTGACTAATTTCTTTTTCAAAAGTGACTTTTTCTTGGCCTTATCCCATGAGTTGTAGGCATTCCCCTTCTGTAGCTCCTCCAGTCATATCCTTTACTCCTCAGAAGTGTTTACTATTAGATTTCCTCTGAAGTAAATTATTAATTTGAGAATTATATGTATGGATATTCTTATTTATAGAGATAATTATATACTGCAGTTCAGAGTGTGTCTTTTAGATATGTTAGTGTCCCAGTACAGAATTTTAGTGTTTATGCGAAGTTTACTGAGGAGGCAAATTTTTCTTGAGGCAGTTACATGTGGGCCCTCCAGAGTCTTGTTTGTCAGTGCGTTTTGCTTTGGCAAACCAAAATCATGTCATTGAGTCTCTTTAATTTATACTCTTTCCAGCTCATTGGAACAGTGCAGAGTGACACCTGCAGGTGATAGATTAAAAAACACTCTCCCAAATGTTGATTTTGGTTATTAAGAGATTAATATCTGAATGTGTTAAAAAGAGTTGATATTTTATTAAATGAAATTATGAGTATTTCTTTACTTATTTTATCCTATTTCTTTTAGGAGGTGATACGAGCCTGTGCTGCAAAGGTGAGTGGTTTTTGTTGTTGTTTTAGAATTTTGTTTATTTTTTTATACAGCAAGTTCTTATTAGTCATCCATTTTATTCATTAGTGTATACATGTCAATCCCAATCTCCCAATTCATCCCACACCCCTCCCCCACCTCCCCCCTTGGTGTCCATATGTTTGTTCTCTACATCTGCGTCTCTTTCTGCCCTGCAAACCCGTTCATCTGTACCATTTTTCTAGGTTCCGCATATATGCGTTAATATACGATATTTGTTTTTCTCTTTCTGACTTACTTCACTGTGTATGACAGTCTCTAGAGTGAGTGGTTTTTATTACCAGGAAGATAACTTTAGTTTTCATTGTGATGCACCAAAGAATTGAAATGTACCATTCACAGTTGTAATAGAACTTTTACAAAGTTCATCTGATACATATCTTCTGCATTTGAGCTCGGATTTATCAAGGAATCGTAATACTGGCACCTGAGAATTCAGCAAGTAGCTTCGTATTTCTGAAGATTTAAAAATATTAAGTGATTGGGATATACTTTCAGTAAAGGTCCAGCAAGATCATTTCCTTCTCTGAGAAAAATATTATATGATACTTTATAGGTAAGAGACAGCAATACAGTTCCAATGGGTGAATGCTGAGTAAAGTGTATAAGCCTTGAAATGAACGTAAGCCACACGTAAACCGCAATGATATATTGTGCTGATAATGCTCTGGATCATTTATACCGTGTTTCATACTTCCTTTCCCATTTAACTGTATAACAATCCTGAGAGACAGATTAGATATTATTGTTATTCCAATTTTAGAAGAGAGGAAACTGAGGCTGAGAGAGGTTAAGTGATGTGCCCAAGACCTCAAAGTTGGTCTGAAGATGGAGGTATACAAAAAGGCCCTTGATTATTAATCAATTTCAACTAAATTGTATCTGGGATGCTATCAACACAACAGCTTTCTTCCTTCTACAAGCAAGGTTATTTTATGTACAACCTTTAACTCAATTGTCAAGAAAATAAGTTTTATTTAAAAGAGCTGGAATAACACCACATGTTCGTCCTTCCCTCTTATTTTCTTCTGTCTGTTCCCAAAATTCAGTTGAATAATTAGACATCCATTTATTTATCAAATATGATTATATATGTCACAAAGTGAAAGGTGAGACCTCCAGAAAGGAAAGAATTAAAGTGGTATTAGTATATTCAAAGACTGCTTTATATAATGTCAGTGCAGTGGAAATACTGTTTTTACTCAGTAGACACCTCCTACCATGTGGCAGGTGCTTGCAATACAGAAGTAAGTAGGCTATTGTCTCGTTCCACATGGGGCATCTTATGGAGGAAATGTGTCAGAAAACTGGGCTTATCCCATCACTGAGCTGTCCAGTATCAGTCAGGACCCATCACTTTTTTACCTAATTATCACAAGTCAACAGGAAATAGAATATAGACAAGGGGAAGGAAGATGGGGAAAAAGGAGAACAAGCTATATTCTGACTTAGGCTGCAGATGTTCAGGAAACTTGTTCCTGATAGCAATGATTGGTGTAATGATTGTAGCTCTAAGATTACTAAATCTTCTTAAGTATGTATAGAATATAAAACTGGAGTCAAAAAAGTAGTTTATCCTCTTGATTAGCAGTTCAGAGCTATTTCTCTTTATTTTAACACATGTATTAGGTACCCCTCTTTTGTAATGCTGTCTGAATGTCCAAAGAGTAAAGTGTTCTGCACATGTTTGGCAAAAGGCTTTATGGAGAACGTCCTCTGCTATTCTGAAAACTTCCTGAGGGTGGAGGTTCATGTCATTCATCTTTGTATTCCTAGTACTTAACAAAAGTAGAATAGTCATTGAAAATATGACATTTCTGGAAATTAATCAAGGTCTAGAAAGATTAACCTACTAGTGTATTTAGTTATTTTTTATGACAGTTTTATTGAGATATAATACACATACCATAATATCCACCCTTTTAAAGTGTACAGTTTATTGGCTTTTATTATATACACAGAGTTGTGCAACCATCACTACCATCTGGAGTTCTTTCATTCCCTCCAAAAAGAAGCCCCGTATCTCTTAGCAATCATTCTCCATTTCTGGGTAGGGACATGCACGCACACACACACACACACACACACACACACACACACACACACACCACTCAAACTCCTGCTAACCACTAATATACTCTCTGTCTCTATAGATTTGCCTATTCTGGACATTTTATATAAATGGAATCATAGAATATGTGATTGTTTGTTACTGGCTTCTGCAGATTAGAATAATTTTTCATGGGTCCTCCATTTGTAGCATGCATGAGTACTACTTTTTATTGTCAAATAAGATTCCATTGTATAAATATATTGCATTTTGTTTATCCATTCATCAGTTTACAGATATCTGTGTTGTTTATACATTTTAGCAATTAAGAAGAATGCTACTATGAACATGTGTGTACAAGTTTTTGTGTGGGCATATGTTTTTATTTCTTTGGGGTATATATCTAAGAATGGAATTGTTGGGTCATATAGTAACTCTATGTTTACCATTTTGGGAAACTACCTAACTGTTTTCCAAAGTGGCTGCACCATTTTAGAATCCCACTAGCAGTGATTCCAGTTCCTTCTCATCCTTGGCAACACTTACTATTTTCTGTCTTTTTTTTATAGCCATCCTAGTGGGTGGGAAGTGGCATCTCATTGTGATTTTCACTTGCATTTTCTTAATGACTAAAGGTGTTGAGTATTTTTGTTGCGCTGTTTTTATATCTTCCTTGGAGAAGTGTCTATTCAACTCCTTTACCTGTTCTTTAAAAAAAGAATTATTTATTTTTATTGTTCACCTTAAGAGTTCTTTATATATTCTGGATACAAGTCTCTTGTCAGATAGATGATCTGCAAATGTTTTATCCCATTTTGTGGGTTGCCCTTTTAATTTCTTGATGGTATTCTTTAAAACAAAAAGGCTTTAATTTTTATGAAATTAAGTTAATCTATTTTTTTCATGTGTCACTTGCGCTTTTGATGTCATATATAAGAAACCATTGCCTAACCCAATGTTCCAGAGATTTACTGCTCTGTTTTCTAGGATCTTTATATTTTTAACTCATATTTAGGTCTGTGATTATTTTGAGTTTTTTTTTAATATGATGTGATGTAGAGGTCTAATTTTATTCCATTTGCATATGGCTGTCTAGTTTTCCCAGCACCATTTATTGAAAAGAGTATTCTTTCCCCATTGAATGGTCTTTACGCTGTTGTCAAAAGACTTTACTCTTAAAAGCAGAATATATTTATGTCATTTCTCATCTGTTACATCCAGAATAATAAATTTTTACCAGGTACCTAAGTTTTTTCTTCCTTAAATCCCATCTAGATTTTTATATTGTTGAAGATTTATTCCTTTTTTTTCCATTAACAGTCTTTAAACAAATATTTATTGAATGCATACCAAGCGTGTGTGCGCGCGTGTGTGTGTGCGCGTGTGTGTGTGAGAGAGAGAGAGAGACCATGTGCGCACATGGAGAATACAACAGTGAATAAGAACATTCTGTTGTAGGGAGACAAATAACAAAAAAGGAAATAAGATGATTTCAGCAAGAAGTGATGTGAAGAAAATAAAATAGGCCATGGGACAAAGAATGACTGGGGGAAGTTATACTCTAAAGGATGATCATGGAAGGCCTCTCTGAGAGAAATACTTGACAAGGAGCTAGTCCTGTCCTGCAAAAGTCCCCATCTAGGAATAAAACTGGCATGCTGGAGGAGCAGAAAGAACACCACTAAGCTTAAGTGGGATAGTGAGCAAGCAAGGAGGAACAGTGTTTCCCGACAAGTTGGAGAGAAAATCAGGAGATCAGGCGTGCCTTTTAAAGGGCCTTGTAAGCATGGTAACGTAGGGGAGGAAAAACTTTACCTTCTAGTTTCTGTGGCTAGTCTAAGGATTAAGTTGGCATAGACAGATTAACAGGAGAAAAAGTACAATTTTAATTACATACATACATGAGCTCCACGGAGTTATGGTATTCCAAAGGCTGCCAGGTAACTGAGGCTTATATACCATCCTGAGCCTAGAAAAGGGATGGAGAGATCAGGGCTTCAGAGGCAGAATGCAATTCAAGGGAAGGTGAGAGGAGGAACTGGTTAGTAGACAAGGTTACCCTGCCATGCAGATAAGTCTCTCAGGTGAAAAAGTTGTCCCTGATGATAGCTCTTTTCGTGGTATAGTCGATCCCCTTTCTAATGTTTTGGGTTGGTCAAAAAGTTCGTTCGGATTTTTCCATAACATCTTAGGAAAAACCTGAACAAACTTCTTTTTTTTGAGAAAGACCAGTGAACCTTTTTTTTTTTTTTTAACACAACTAACTAAATTTATTTATTTATTTTTGGCTGCATTGGGTCTTTGTTGCTGTGCACAGGCTTTCTCTAGTTGCGTCGAGCAGGGGCTACTCTTCGTTGCAGTACGCGGACTTCACATTACAGTGGCTTCTCTTGCTGCAGAGCATGGCCTCTAGGTGTGCGGGTTTTAGTAGTTGTGGCATTCGGGCTCAGTAGTTGTGGCTCACGGGCTCTAGAGCACAACCTCAGTAGTTGTGGCACACGAGCTTAGTTGCTCCGTGGCATGTGGGATCTTCCCAGACCAGGGCTCAAACCCGTGTCCCCTGCATTGGCAGGCGGATTCTTAACCACTGCACCACCAGGGAAGTTCCCCGAAAGAACTTTTTGGCCAGCCCAGTATAATTTCCCTTACAAAAGGGTAACTTCCACTCTGTTTTCAGAACTCCTGTGTCTAAAGTTTCTCAAAGTAATCCTTATACCAAAGAGACATATTTTGGGGTGGCATATTCTACTATCCTTCTGTAAGGAGTTTAGGATGTTGATTTAATTAGAGAAACAAGTGATTAAGATGTTAAACTAGAGAGAATGTGAGAATAGATTTTAAAAGGAGAATAAGGGTCTCAGTTCAAGAAAGAGGAGATTGTGGCCTGGACTAGGATGGTATTAAAAGATAAAAT